AGGGGGGGGGGGAGCAGTGGAGGTTGGATGTCCCAAGTATCAGGGTTCAGGTTTTTCTTAGTCATGAAGTAGTGTGAAGTTAGGTATTTGAAAGGGGATGGTAAAGTTTTGGATCGTGAGCCTAATCCATTGCGCTTCAGTAGTTAGCCACGGTTTCCATCTTAATTGATCATTCTGGTCTAATTCGCATAGTTTTTGCTTCGCATTTATCCAAAGGGCTCGAAAGTTCTCCAAAAGATCATTCCTTTTGGTGAGGTATGATTTTGTGATCATCATGAGTTTGAGTTCTTTCCATGTTGCGTGCGTGTTTACAGTTATGGTCTGCACTATTGAGGCATTGGCCTCCATGAACCCAAACGTATGTTGCTTGAATTTCTGTGCGAATCTCATACGCCAAGCTGCCATGAGTATTGGCAGTCGGGTGATATTGAAGAGATTGGTCATAAAGGGAAAGCATTGGTGTGCACTTGGTGAGATCTTCTCCAACAAGATTGTTTTTAGGTCCCACGGGATATGCGTGTTTGTTAGGTGGTACCATGCTGAGTCCCACCATCTCCACAGTTGGGCTACCATCTGGCAATCAAGAAGACAATGTTCCAATGTCACCCTTTTCTTGGAAAAAACATTTCCACAGTAAGTGCATAAGGGGGACAACTGGCCCCGTTGTTCCAGATTAGTGATTGCTGTCAGCCAATCGGGTGTCGGTAGGCATCTGTGAATAATCTGCCACTGCAGGGCTCTAAGGTTTGTGGGTTGTATTCGTGAGTAGGCTGTCCATCTTATATTTTGCAGATCTTTTTTTTTCAAAGGCGAATCTCTATCCCATCTGGCCTTAATGAGGTCCAATATATGTACCTTTTGGTGTGATTGTCTATAGCCCTCTTTAACTGTGTATTGCCAGATTGGAAACTTAGTCTTTCCTGCCATAAGCCATTCCCTATCTCGAGGGCCGAAAGGCAGTTGGGCAAGAGGAATGGTTGACTCATAAGCGAAAGACCCCTTATCCCCTTCGAGAAACACTCGAACTCTGATAAGATCTTTCTGGGGTCTGTGGTGGTCCAATTCCTCATATCGAGTTAATTTGGACCATCTTTCTCTTGGTAAGTGGGGTCTGTGTGCATGTAATGAAACATGATGAGTAAGTATTGATGCCACCTTGGAGATTGTTATGGGGAGTGACCAATCCTCTTTTGGCATTACCCAGTCTCCTTATTTTATCGTCGGTCCATGCTTGGGTTCCGCCACCCATGCCAACAGGACAACCTCTTGTAGCTCTCATAACCCTTCCTCTATATTTCTAACCCGGGTCAATTGAGGTCTGAGATCCACTCCAGTATTCCAGGTTGTAGTTTGTCTGTTCCACAGATCCCCAACCGTATACATTCCTCTTGTAGCCCATAGTAGCCATTGTGAGCCATTATGGAGGGAGAAGGGGTGTCCTGTGCTGTCGAGAATGTGGGGGTTCCCAGATATCGGTTGTCTGCTTATTTCCTCCCATCTGATCTGGGGGGAGTTTTGGGTTGGGCCCCTTTCTTTCCAGAGTCTCAGGAAAGTGGTCCAGAGAGGATCAAATCTCAAATCCCATTTAGCCGGATTTGATGGTGAGTTGTTAGTGCGGGCTCGAGGCGAGGTTGGGAGGGACCATTCTTCATTGGTTAGCGACTCCAGCGGGTGTATTGGTTTTGTTGCTGCTGTCTGGGGGGTCAGGGCGGAGATCTGAATCAGGGCATAAGGGGCCAAAAGGATGTTGTTGCTTATCAACATTCTTATTAGAAATTTGAATATAAGTGCCTTAATTTCGTTCTCCAGGTCCACAATGCCCAATCCTCCCTATGACCATGGTTGTGTGATCACCTCTCATGCCACCATTTTGATACAGTCCATTTCTCCATGATCTCAGCGCCACAGGTATGCCGATGCTGCTCTCCGTAGGCGTTTAAGTTGTCGCTTCCTCAGCTGCCAAAAGGCAGCCTTGTACCAAATTGCAGCAACTATTCCATTGTTTATTGCCAATGCTCGTCCTATTATCGAAGTGTAAGTCATTTTCCATGTTTCCATTCGTTGGACAGCTAGATCTACCAGCCTCTCCCCATGATCGGCGGGGGGGCCAAGGGCTGTCAAGTTTACTCCTAGGACCCCGATGGCGGCTTCCTTTGGTCTCCAGTCCACCTCTCGTGTAGGAGGTGGGGGATTGTCAACATTACGAAGCCATCATCCTTCCGTCTTCTTTCCCCAGTTAAACCACCAGTACCTCCCCGTTATTTTTTACAACTCGCGGCCCTTAACGTGCCGCGACTTTCGGGGGTCCGGCGAACGTACGCCCGGTCGCTGATATTTCAACTAAAAAAAGAAAAGGAAAAAAGAAATAATAATAAAAAAAAAAATTCGAAACGAAAAAAAAACAAAAGAAAAATGCACCGAGAGGTGAGAGGTGGGGGTAAGCTCAGAGACGCAGAGAGAGAGAGAGAGAGAGCAAGAGAGAGAGAGAGAGAGAGAGAGAGAGAGAGAGAGAGAGAGAGAGAGAGAGAGAGAGAGAGAGAGAGAGAGA